TTAAAGATTTTGCATCTAGGTGTGGCTGGCATGTCGTTCTCTCTCAAACCCCATAGCACCTTCTACAGAATCAAAGCCTCTTTTAAAATTTACACTCCCTGAATGGAACACAATACCCAGTAAACAGGGCTTTCCACCACATTAGAGATTTGGGGAAACCAATATGAAATTGTTTACTACAAATTAGTAAATAAGCACAAATAAGCCCATGCTTACTTGCCATGGTGTGGCACTGTAGGATTAACACTTAACTGCTAGCCACAAGGTTGTCAGTTTAAACCCACCAGCCCCTACTCAGAAACCAACTCAATGGTACTTAGCAGGAAGCCCCTGATTACCTTGCTTATTAGGTAATTCTCCACTGCCTCTAATAGGGCTATATTGTGCTTCTTATTTGGGGTATTAATGTGCCAGACTACAAGGTCAGTTTGAACGGCAAAGTTGGCTGCTCAAACTCATCAGCCATTCCTTGGAAACGCTCTGCAGGGTCTCCATGAGTTGGAACTGGCTCCACAGCACTTAGCAACAACAATGAGAAAAATGGAGTTCTGGTGTGGCGCTGTAGGATAAGCACTGGAGTGCTAATCATAAGGTTGGCAGGTCAAACCCAGCAGCTACTGCTAAGAAACTTTATGCACAGGGTCACTTAACTTAAATGAGAATAATAGATCTTTATGTTAACTTTTACACCTACCCCCTAGGAGTGCCAACAACCAGTTAAGAATGAAATAGACTAAATGGAGCAATTAACTAATGGTGGTGGTGATTATGTGCCAAGGAGTCAATTCCAACTCATTGCAACCCTATATAGGGTTTCTGAGACTGTAAATCTTTACAGGAACAGAAAGCTTCATCCTTCTCCTGCAGAAGTGCTGGTAGTTTTGAACTGCTAATCTTGAGGTTAACAACCTAACTCGTAACCACTAGGCCACCAGAGCTCCTTATAGCCAGTTAAAAATGATTGCAAATAAAAATATTTGTGAATGAATGCTAATTTATTTATGGCATGCTATTTTATCACATAGGAGCTCTGGTAGTATAGTGGTTACGAACTGGGATGTGAAACTCACAGTCAGAAGTTCAAAACTACCGACTGTTCCGTAGGAGAAAGATGAGGCGTTCTGCTCCTGTAAAGATTTACAGCCTCAGAAACCCTGTACAGGGTCGCTGTGAGTCGGAACCGACTCCATGTCACAGCACAACAACAGCTTTATCACAGAAGCTTCATACTTTGTTTGCTTTTCAAGTTTATCTTCATTCGCTAAGGTCATTTGTGTAATGAAGGAAACAAAGAAAATGAAATTTGTTGAAATAATTGTTCTATATCATGTAGAAAGGTGGAAAGAACAAAAGGATTCCACTTTAAAATGTTAGAGCCAAAAGTAACAGTTTTTATTTTCTGTGTGTAATACTAACTAATGTCTTAGAAAATAGACTTGAATTTTTATATGTGGTATACTTATTTAGTGCTTTAGATGTGTATGTGTTGTTGTCATAATTGCATTTTATAGCAGTGTGAGTTTCTTCTTGAGGGTTCATAAAGTCTGTTGTATTTCTCTCTAGTGTGTATATTTGATCAAAACAGCTAGCAGTTTTAGTGTTACGTTTTTTCTTAAGTTTTTGTGTATGACCTTATAGCTCAAGTCCTTCACCTTAAAAGTAGAATATTCCCACTAGCAGTTTAGATTCTTTGTAAATCAGACTACTTAAAATAATTAAAAAAAAAAAAAAGATCTAATGGCTCACCTAACACTTTCTACCACCCCATAGGAATCTTAGAAGATGATTGGTTCTCTTTCTTTCTAAAGAAGCAATTATTAAGAAGAAGAAAATGAAGAACTTCTAAAGCTAATCTAATATTTTCTGTAAATTTCAGTAAAGAAACAATGTTAACAGATTTAAAATACTTTGGAAAGGGAAAAAGGTGTTTTGTTCTCGACAATGAGCAAATAAAATTCTATTACATAGAAAGGCTTTGTGTAACGAAGTAATCTAGCTGGCTGATGGTTCATATAAACAACTTTCTTAAACTTTTACCTATTTATTACAAATATTGGTGAAGCCCCATGGTACTAAAATTGAATCTGTTAATGATCTTCTGCTTTTAATGTGCCACTGACTCCTGGCATAGCCCATAATACAACTGTTTTTTTCATTTAAATATAATGAAATCTGTTAAGTAACATTTTATATAATAGACATATTTGCTCATCATCTTTTTCACTTAGTGAAACATTTTGTGTATATCATCTTTTTTATTTACAGGGTATCATATGTATGTCTCCTTTATGTGTATATTAATAATATGTTAAATACTTTTTTTTTTTTTTTTACAGATTTTTCTAAAATGTGTGGGTAATATTGCAGAGTGGAAGTTAGTTTTAGAAAAAACTTAGTTCCTGTAAAATGTATTTATATTTCACCTGCTAAAAAATAATAAACCAAATTTAAGGTGGGGAAGATAAGAAATTTAGATAGGATGGTGGAGATGTGAAGACACTGAGGACTGTGGTGTACAATTACTAGTCCCAGATTTTAATATCTTTCCTTATGGACAAGTTTCAAAGGATTCTCAATGCATGAGCTTCTTTAACTTTAACTTGGAGTGCTGGGTACTAGAGAGTGTCATTTTACTCGTTTGTGTAATTGTCCTACTTCCCATACCTTCAAATATTAATTACTGTAAAAACGATGACATTTTCATCTAAAATTTAGATAAGATCATTCATAAAACAGCCTAACTGTAGTCTCTAGGATTTGTGTAATAACAGAATTTAGAAAATAATTCTCTTTTTTTCCCCATTAAAGAAAAGTAAAAAACATTACTGTACTTAGGGTAAACATGTCCAGTTTTACTTTTGAAGTATTATAGCATATAAGTATATTTTACGTGCTTTGTGACTGATAAAAGCATTCTTTGTCCTGCCTCACCATCTTCTACCCTTCTTGTTCAATTTCTTTACACACTTAATATTAGCATTCTGTGAGCATATTTTTAAAGGATTATTATGATGTTTTCCATTTGTATCCTGTAGTAATTTATTTGCATTTTGAAAGGAGCTTGAATAGTATTTGACAATTTAAAAGAAGTTTGAATAGTATTGACAACCAGCAAGCTCATCAAAGTAAGATTCTACCTGTAATCTCATGATACCAAATGCTTGCTCTGTTCCAAGGAATAGAGATCATCTGTGGTTTATCTTATATGTAGGGTAAGAGTAGTGGACATCTAGTAGCATTTAGCTCTTTGAGTACCCTGAACTATGTACTTCTAGTCCATGAATTGCTTAAAATCCACTTCAGTACAAACTGCTCTCCAAAGCAATTAGGAGAGAGAAGGTGCTGGTTATAAAGATATGTGATACCTCACTCTTCTTAAAGGTTGTGAAGAGCCTAGTTTTGCTTTCTCGTTCATTACACATAAGCCAGATTGCTTAGGGATTTGATTTTTATCTAGGATATTGAAGAATTTAAGTGTGACCATATTCTTTTTAAACAAATGATGCTGCGTATCCTACGTATCAATAGAACAGATTTCCATTCATAAGTTGTCATAATGTCAAAGGTTCCTTTATTTTTCCTCCAGGAGTATTTGCTGAGTTCCTACTATGCGCCAGACACTTGACTGAGATAACTAATGAGCTTTTTATATTCTAGACTTCGATTGTTTAGCTTTGAAGTAGCCATTCTTTAATACCTAACTTCCAGTAGTTCTTTACTTTTTAGACTCTTCTTCTGAGGACGAGCAGAGAAAGATTTGAGCAGGGCCTAGATTATACTTTCAAATAGGAGGCTTAAAGCAGTGGTTTGAATGAGATTTAGGATTCTCTAGTTGTTAATTTTCTATATGATATTTCTGTTAGCAATGCCACTTGACTACTGTAAGGAACTATGCTTACTGGTTTTTTGATAGTAGCATCTATTCTTTTGGAATCTGGACTTTGAGCAACTCATTTCACAGAATCATTGAATAGTCAGTTCCTATTCTCTCTTACCTAGAGTTTTTCCAGATTTCACATGTCAAGTAACAGAAGAGAAGTCATTTCGGTAACTCCTCTGTTACATTTATATCCCTCCCCCTCATATCCCTAGGGATAAATTCTTAGCGTCTCTTTTCTGCTAATTGACCAGCAGCACCCTGAATTACTGTCATCCATTGATGTAAAGTAATGGTGTAACTATTCAAAGACAATCATTAAAATGTTACGTCCTATCTATTCCTATCAAATAATCTTTATTTTCCTTTATTAAATCACATTTTAAGGATAAGTGTGAAGAAAAAGAAAATAATGAGCAATTTCTATATAGCATTACAATTTTGGTCTGTCTTAATATAAACATTTTTACTTTTTTCCATTTTAATCATGTTTTCAAAATAAACTAAGGAGAAAATGAAATATGCCAAAAATGTCAAGAATAGTTAGCATTAAGCCTCCAGTCCATCTGGAAACTTGCTATATGCGATCATTTATATTTTACTTTCTAGTAAAATTACACTCACATATATATACATGCAATACAATCTGAATTTAAAAATGAAATTGCTTTTTCAAATGTAGGGTCAGAATGCTTTTTAAAGAACTATTTTTATTATAAATTCAAAATGAATTACTTTGAAAATTGGGTTTTCATTATATTTTTATTACATTGTTGATATTCCCCTAATAAATTTTCAAAAGTATGTGAGACCTACTTAATGAGTCGTAATTAAATGAAAACTTAATTGTATGATCTAAATAAAAAGTAATAATTGCCTGGAAACAAAGAAGAGTTAACATATTATTTGAAAGAAAATATATATATATATATAGGAAAAGTATGCAGATATCTCACTACTACTAGTGAATCTACTCCAAGGAAGTGCATGCTTCAAGGAATGGACAAATGAATGCAGAGTTTTCCTAACTTGATTTAGGTGGTCTAATCTCTTTAGAAATATATGCATGTTTGTATATTTGGAAATATACTAGAAATGTTAAGTCTTTTTCTTGGTTTTTTAGCCTTAGATTGTAAGCAAAAGAAATCAAGGTCAAGATCTGGAAGTAAGAAGAAAATGCTGGCGTTACCTCATGGTGCTGAAGAGGTTTACATTCTCCGATGCAGGTATAGATTGTCAAATCTGGTCAGATTCTTCACATTTTGTTTTGAGATATTGTAGCTGTTTGGGGAATGGGGAGATATGCTATTTTTAATTTGTGGCCTAGGATGCGATCTCAACAATCAAGTTGTAAATGAATTTTTACAAAAGTGCTTAACATAAACTATTAATATATAACATTGTTGCTAAGTGCCATTCTAGTTGGTTCCAACACATAACTACCCTGTATAGCACACACACACACACACACACACACACACACACACACACACACACACACACAAAATACTATATTTCAAATAGTAGTGAATCTGGGTTTTTACTTTATCCGAGAGACTATTAAAATGTGGATTTATAATATAAGCTTAGGTTTTTTAAAAAATAGTTTTGTTTCTGAATTGTTTGGTTTAATTTGGTTTGCTTTTTGCTATCTTAAATTCCTTATTGGACTCCTGGTGTAGTGCTGTAGGATCAGCCCTGGACTGCAAATCACAAGGTCAGCTGTTCAGACCTACCAGCTGCTATTTGGAAACCCTATACAGGGTCTCTATGAGTTGGAACCGACTTGCTGACATTTCACAATAACATACTCACTATAAGGAGCCCTTGTAATGTAGTGGGTTACGTGTTGTACTGGTAACTGCAAGGTCAGCAAATCACATCTACAAGTTACTCCATAGGAGAAAGATGGGGGTTTCTGCTCCCATAAATATTTACAGCCTTGGAAACTCTATACAGGGCCACTATGAGTTGAAGCTGACTTGATGGCACACAACCACCACTACCACCATACTAAGTATATATATATATACCTCTTAGACCCTGCATTTTAAGTAGTTCTAAATTAGAGAAGGGTCTTTTCTAAAAAGTGTTAACATTTTTGGAGTTATAGTAATTATTTTAAATATATTAAGCTGGGTCTATGAAGACTTAATTTATTTAAAGCTTCTAATTATGTTCTCACCTCTAGAAATACTATACTTTGTTACTGTTGTTATATATATATGAATTGGGAGTTTTGGTACTCTTATTGAATTATTTTATCTAAAAACTTAATCAAGCATTATCTCTACTATAAATTAAACTTTATTCTTTACAGGTACAGGTCTCATGTGAATTGATTTTAAACCAAGAGAATCACATGTGAATTGATTTTTAAATAAAGAGAATCACATGTTAAGAAAACTGTTTTCAACTTCTTCTATAGGTTTTGTGGCCTAGTCTTTCGAGGACCATTGTCTGTTCAGGAAGACTGGATTAAGCACTTACAACGACACATTGTAAACGCTAATCTTCCACGGACTGGAGCTGGCATGGTGGAAGTCACGTCACTACTTAAAAAGCCTGCCTCCATTACAGAAACTTCATTTTCTCTACTAATGGCAGAAGCAGCTTCATAGAACAAGGAAACCTTTAATAGCAAATTTGAATTGGGTGTAAATTTGAAATTCTTTTTTTTTTTTTTTTTAAGCCACATTAAATTATTCATTTATAAATACTAAAGCAGGAAAATGGGGAAAAGTGAATTACAGTGACATCAGAGCAAATTGAGTACTTAAAACAGTAAGTAGTCTATATATTTTATATAGGGTGGAAGATGTGTTTTTAAGGTTTACTACGTTTTGTCAGTTAACTGTGTTCACTCAAAAGATTATTTCATGTAAGCAGTCATTTATAAACTGTTGCACATGAGTACCTATAGACAAACTTATTAAAAAATTATGTTTTCTTCAGTGTTAACCAGAATCAAGGCTCTGTTTATTCCCCACAAGACTTGCATAGAAAAATAAGATATTATATTTTGTTTGTATGTACTTAGTGTTTTGTATAATACCAGGAACCGCTAACTAAATTTACTCAATTTAGGGCATTAAATATCATGTATTTCATAGTTTGAGACTGTTCACTCAAATAGGGCAATGAGTACTATTCTATCTAGATGTGTAAGTGTTTTTTTAAAATCACACGAAACGGTTTTTTTTATACTAAAAAGTGGAGGGAGGTTTGTTTAAACAAATATTTCTAAAAGAAATATGTACATAGTCCTGGAAATTATTTGTGGTAAGGAAATATTCTTTACTCCAGTTGCATTTCTCAGACAATAAAGTGGTGCATCCATGCTACCTCCTACTTTGTCAACAAAGATGCTATTTACCCTTTACATTTTTGTATCATAATAGATTTAAAAAATCTAATGTTCTTTATTGCAAGACATCCTTTTGTTAACAGATTTGTTTCTTTTTAATGTTTTACCTGAAATTTGACATGCTTACAGGACAGGTTTGCCTCTTTATTTAACATTGTAGAAATGTATGTAATTAATAAACGATGCTCACTACACAATTTAGAATAGACTTTCTCATTTATATTCTCTTCCAAATTTGATCAGCTAGCAAAACTTAATACACCAGTTGACATATTTCTACATATGATGAGAATGTTTACAATTTAAATTTTAGAACTTGTTTTGGATGTAATTATATGTACGAAATCGTGTAACACTATGCTCATGCTAAGAACCGACATAACGGAATTACTGAAATAAATGTGCTGTGAGGAATGGAAAATATGGTGCAGGTGTCTTGGTCATGATAAATTGTGATTCTTCTTTGAACTCTTTCCAAAAACAAATTAGTTATTTTAATTTGAAATCAGATTCATTTATAAGTAACAGTTTTTGTATGCAAGCACCATTTCATTTTATTTCACATAGTATGGCTAATACTATAGATGAACCAAGGATTTATACTGGTTTTTGTATGTAAATAAAGTTAAAAACGGTTAAAATACGGAGTATTATGATAGAGTTTATACATACCTCACTGCCAGTGAAATTGCTTGCCTATGGTTTATCCATCTCCTTATCAGAAAAGTCTCTTTTTTTAAAAAAAAAAGTCTTAAAGAAACTGTAATATGAAACATTTATTTTTATCATTTAACAGGTAGAACTAGTCCATTTAAGATTGTCTTTGATTTGATTTAAAAATATTGTTTATACTTAGCAGGTGTGGCGCTGTAGGATCAGCACAGGTCTGCTAACTGCAAGGTTGGCAGTTCAAACCCACTAGCCACTCCTTAGAAACCCTATATAGGGTTGCTATGAGTCGGAACTGACTCAACAGCACTAACAACAATAGCAACAAGAAGCAGATTACATTATTCACAGGACACAGTTTTTCTAGAAACACTCAGTAGTCTATACATAATAGTATGTGAGATATAGGTAATGTTTTTACTTTGTATTACTCATGAAACCTCTAAATCCAGGACTACCTTGTATGTTAAATTAGGAAATTAAACTACGTGGATCATTCCCAGCCAATAGCTATGTCCTTGAGAGGGTGGAGGCTTGGGGGTACTATTGTCTTAGTCAAGGTTCTTTAGAGAAATTGAACCATAGATAAGGCCATGGAAAGAGGAAAGAATGAGGGAATTGTAGCAAAGTGTCTATTCATGGCAGAATGCACCCTTAGGGAAACTCCTTTTTGGTTCTGAAGGGCTTCAACGTGAAGTTCACCCACATTATGGAAGAACAAACCCATTGCTGTCTGGTCTATTTTGACTAAAAGCAACCCTCTAGAACAGAGTAGAACTGCTCCCGAGGATTTCTGTGACTATAAATCTTTACAGAAGGATACTAGCTTAATCTTTCTCTCACGGAGCAGCTGGTAAGTTTCATACCACCAGCTTTTCCATTACAGAAAGTAATCTTCTTTATTTAAAGATGACAGATTTAATCCCATGTTTTACAAAATAACTGGGAACACTATCACAGGGTACTAGATCAGGGATCTGGTACTTAACAAGTTATTTTCAAATTTTCAGATGACAATACAAATTGTTTATTTGCCTTTAATGCCAGGACAAATGAAACCATCAATTTTTAATTGGACAATATTACAAGGAAGCCTCCAACAGTTTGTAGAAAAATTTCGCTATCTCTCAATTTCCACAAACTTCTTTAATTCCTCTTGTATACATAGCAAATGGACTTCAACAGGAAAATAAAAACAAAACAAAAACCCCCAACAACATAACGATTACTGGTGGTAAAGTTGGCAGTCACTAGAATCCCTTTCAGCTCTAATTTTCATAGTTATTTTGATTTTTATCTTGTCGAGCCAACTATCAAATTGTGTTAGTATAAATAGAATATTTTGTAAGTATCAGAATCAGACCTAGATTAAGTTTGTTTTAATGTATTGAATTCTACTTAAAACATTAATTTTTTTCTCTTAGATATAAAAAACTAAAAGAGCAATAGTAAATTAGAAATTCCTGAAAAATGAATTAAACATTTTTTATACTAAAGCCATTGGGTTATAAATTTTAAAGAATTCTTCATGAAGTCAAAGTTTGTCTTATTTTTCAAAAAGAAAGTATATTTTCATTTGACATCTAGGAGAGTTATAGAATGTTATCTCAAATTTTATGATACAATTTCATGATCAATTTGTGACCTGCTCTACTTAGTTGAATAATTTTCGTTTCTTTATCATTGCATAGTACTTGAGCTTCTTTAATACTAGGCATTTTTGTTTATTTGTTTTAATCAAGAACAGCAAGACAAAAGTTAACTTCTTTGTTAAGTAATATTTTACACTATTCTTTATATTAGAATTATGGCATGACTCATTTCTATATTTAAGGTTTCACATACATATTTATGGGTTGGGGCAATGATAAGGTTTTTGGTAGTAATTTAATAACCTTTTCTTGAGGACATACATAACCTCTCAGGGACTGTGCAGTTAGAACATATCAGTCCATTGGATAACCATTGTTTTTTTCTTACTATGAAAGCATATAATATATGTTTATCTTTGAAATACTAAAAAAAATGAAAAGCAAAAAAAGACAGGGACAAATGGCACCTGTGTTATTATCACTCAAAGACAACTACTTTTAAATGTTTGATACATTTCTCTCACTGTTTAAGTAGGTATGATAATAATGTATATTATACATCCTTTTTTCCCCAAAGTTATTTTTAAATTTGAGAGCCGCATTGTAGAAGGAGGTACTACATTGGTTTTTCTTAATTATCAAAAATACTAGAATAAAATCATTGAATGCTCATATAGGCAAACAACAAATAAAGCTCACTGAATTGACATAACTCTTACTGCGTACTTCCTAAATGAGACCAAAGCTGAAATGAACAGAGTAGATATAATCGAGTAAGTTACTATTTCTGTTTTTCTTGTTTCTGGTGGGTTTTGTTTTTTTTTTTTTTGCTAATATTAGACCAAAAAAAAGTTTTACCAATATGAAGAAAATGTTCATATACCCACTTAGTCTTTTTCCTGTTTATAAATCTTCTTTTTTATAAGCATGAAATCATGCTATGTAGAAAATGACCTTTTATTCTCTTAGCAGTAGATCCACATGCTTTTTCATAACACTGAATATTTTTGTGAAATGTTCCATTGTACCCTATCCATTGTTAATCATTTTATGTTGTCTGCAGGTTTTTGGAAAGAGTGCTTTTGATGAACATACTTGCAATAAATGTTTGTTCACATCCAAAATGATTTCCTTATGATAACTTTTTTAATAGTGGAACTGGTATATCAATGATCTGGATATTCCCCACACATTTGGGGCTACATAAAAATTGTATCCAGAGAAGTCATAATAACTATATACTCCTACCTGCAATGTATGAGAATTGTTTACAGTTCCTCTCTCTCTTACTAATGTATTCTTCAAAACAAAATAAAACTTGGCTTATTTTATAGGTAAAAAGTAGTATCTTATTCATCTTTTAGTGACAAAGCAGAATAACAGACCTTTTTGATCATATTGTCTTTAAGATTTAAAATAAAATATGTATATAATTATTTTGCTAGATGATGTGTCTAAAATAATTTTAGTTTTGATTTAGTAATCGGCTACTGGAACAAATAGTGTAAGTGATCCTAATCCTCATTTTTAAAATCTTTGGCTGCTTTAAATTTGATTTCAGAATTGTGATGCTGTGGGTTAATGCACTAGACTACCAGATCAGTGGTTCAGAATCACCAGCTGCTCCTTGGAAACTCTATACATCGCTATGAGTCGTAACTGACTCGATGGCACTTAAGAACAACAACAATATGCATTTTTTCTGGGAATTCCATCACAGTCAGTTAGATGCTCAGATTGCTCAATAGACCTCTCAACTTGCCCCTCCCCCACCAAAAAAAGAAAGAAAGATCTCCTTTGAAAGCAGTATGTCTTCATATCAGTTGCTACATGGTTTATGTTTTGCATATAATCCTAAGCAAATTCTAACTAAATTAACCTCAACCATTTGTTATAAGTTTTTTTAATTTTTATATGATTGGAAAAGAGTGTTAAATGAATTGTTTTGCATATTTTTAAAAAGTTTCCAGACAAAGAATATTTAGAAATTTGCTTTGAAAGTTAATGTTTGATTTCTTAAAAGTTATAGATCAGTTGTTAGTTCTATATTAAGCTTTTAAGGTCAATATATGAGATTTTATTTTTCTATTGATGACTTTAACAAATTTCAGCAAATATTTTTTAATAAGCTTTTAGATAATGCTTTGTCCCACTTGCTGTTAAAACCTATTAAAACATATTGAACTGCATTTTCAGATTCAATATACTCAGTTTCTATTTCAAGAAATTCAGTTTTCTGGTTTAAAACATTTTCAAGTAAAAAAAATACTGCTACCTGGTGTCCTGTAGGACAAGCACTGGACTACTAATGTCAAGGTCAGTGGCTCAAAGCCACCAACTGCTCCTTGGAAACCCTGTACAGGGTCACTGTGTTGGAACTGACTCTATGGCACTTAACACCATCACCACTACCTAGGGTTCCAGTTCATAGATGCTCAGTTTACTCCAAACAAAACACATTTAAATATGTCTCTGCCATCAGCGGATATCTGCAGACAAGTACTTAGTAATAATCTTGTCTTAGTCTTTATGATATTCCCCCCAAAAAATAAAAACAGATACTTTTTGTGACCTGAGGAGGAAATAAACAATTTTGAGGATAGGGCTAACTTAATGTAGACAGCTTCCTAAATCGTTGAAACTTTGCACACAAGTTTACAGAAATGATGCCTGTCTTAAAACAACAGTATTTTAGATGGATCAAACATTTTAAGGAAGGTTAGGAAGGACCTCTAAGATGAGCTGAGAGAGGGAAGACAGTCAGCCTAAGTGAATGAAGAAATTGTGGTTGAGTCAAGAAACTATGGAAGAAGACTGAGGAATTATTGATTCTGTACTCAGCAAGCTTTCAGTTTGATGGATGCCAAAAGCATTGCCCGCAGATCACTTAGGTCAAAGAACTGATCTTTCCATCAGTCTTCAAAGCATGATCCAAGGTATTAACAATTTTAATGGAATAAATAAAAACTGGCTTCCCAGGTGTCTATTGGACCACTTAATTCAAGGCAGAGCAGTCAGCTCAACAGGTTATGACAAATGTTTTTTGGATTCGAAATAGGGAATCTTCATAGATATTTTGACCGGATACAGGACAATCACAGGCTTATTGTGAAGAAATGTAATGTAAGAAAATGGAAGATTGCATTGGTGAGAAAAAGGCAAGAAAGTTACACTGAGGAATTTTTTTTTTTTTTTAATCACAGTTGTTCACCTGCTCATTCTTTGAGGATAGCAAGGACTGTCCTGTGAAAAATATTTTGGAAACCTTACCCCATCCATCTTTCAGCCCTGATCTTTCTCCTTACATCTTATTCGTTCCCAGAACATTGCAGAGAAACACAGTTTTAGTCCCTTAAGGATGTCAAAACATGTAAATCAAAAGAACACAGAATACTTCAGGAAAGAGATACAGGTATGAAAACACTACCTTCAGAAGCATGAAGATGGAGAGTATATCAAAAAACAATAGCTTCACAGTTTGATGTTGTTAAATGCAGTT